TTTTTAATTGAATTGCAATTAGTGATGTGGCAGTTAGAAAAAAAAAACTCATGTAAGTCATTCAGTAGGCATTTATTAAGGGTCTACTATGTGTCAGGCACTGTGCTAAGTCATGGGGGTACTTCAGAAAGGCAAAAGACAGTTCTTGCCTTCCAGGGGCTTACAATCAAATGGAGGATATAATTCAATTAAATCAATATTTATTAAGTACCTACTATGTGCCAGGCACTGTGGCTTAGTGCTAGGAATATGAAAAGAGTCAAAGGACAGTTTTTTCCTGCCTTTCCTGCTAATGTGTGTCTAATATGGGAGAAAACATGCGAACCACTAAGTATGTGATATTAAGTAGCATTAAAATAAATAGAGCACCCAAATACAGACCTCCAGATTGATGGAGATCATAGTCTCACTAGATCCTCTGCTCTGGCAGGACCACAGCTGGAATATTTTGTCAGTTCTGAGTGCCACTTTTCATGTAGACCACTGATAAGCTGCAGCACATACAAACGAGGGCAAAGAGGCTGGAGTAGGTACTTGAAAGCATGTCGCCCCAGAATAATCTATTATAAGAACTAAGGTTATTTACACTGTAAGGGGAAGATTTGGAAGGGAACTGATAAGCTTTTCCTCAAACATTTTGTTTTTGGCTACGCATTGGGGTTAAGTGACTTGCCCAGGGTCACACAGCTAGTAAGCGTCAAGTGTCTGAGGCTGGATTTGAACTCAGGTACTCCTGACCTTAGGGCCATTGCTCTATCCACTGCACCACCTTGCTGCCCCTTTCTTCAAACATTTGTAGAGCTTTCGTGGGGAAAAGAAATCAGGCTTACTTTGTTTGGATTTTCCTACACCAATCCACTCTCCATTCAGCCACTAAAGTGATTTTACTAAAGTGCAGATGTGATCATGATTATAGCTTCCTATAAACTCATATAAACTTCCTATAAAACTCCAGTGACTTCCTATGGCTTCCAGGAGCAGATACAAAATACTTCGTTTGGCATTCAAAGCCCTTCATAATCTAGCTCCCTACTAGCTTTCCAGTCTTCTTACACCTTGCTGTCTGATACACACTCTGAACCAGCGACATTGGCCTCTTGGTTGTTCCATGAATGAGACACTCCACCACTTGGCTCTGGGCATTTTCTCTGGTTGTCCTCCATATCTGGAATGCTCTTCCTATTCTATTCTGACTACTGACCTTCCTGGCTTCCTTTAAGTACTAACTAAAATCCCATCTTCCCCAATTTCTCTTAATTCCAGTACTTTCTTTCTGTTAATTATTTCCTATTTATCTTGTATATAGTTTGGTTTGTATTTATCTGCTTGCATGTTGTTGCCCCCATTAGATTGTGAACTCCTTGAGGGCAGGGATTGTCATTTGCCTCCTGTTGTATCCCCAATACTTAGCATAGTGCCTGACACATAGTAGGCACTTAATAAATGTTTATTGATTGATTGACCTGAGTTCCAATCCCAGTTTTCCACTTACTATCTTTGTGACCTTGGGTAAGGAACTTCACTTTTCTAGCCTCAGTTTTCTCATCAATAAAATGAGGACTAGATGACTTCTAAGATTCGTTCCAGCTCTAGTTTTATCATCCTATGGAACAATGATTAATGGGTAGAGGTTAAAAGAAGGCAGGTCCTCCTCCGAAAAAGAAGTTGTTTAAAATTTTCCAATTTAATTTTTAAATTTTCAATTTAATTCCTAACAATTAAAGTTATTAAAAATGAAATGGACTGCTTATGGAAGCAGGAAGTTCTCTATCCCTAGAGGTCTTCAATGGATAAGCACTTGCTGGAAATGTTGCAAAAGTCATTAGTTCTTCTTTGACTAGATCATTTCTAAGTTCCTCTCAAAGCCTAAGAGTCTATTTTTCTATATACAGGATATCTCAAAAGTCTTAGCATACTTTTAATCTATTAAAGCTTCAATAACAGGTGTCCCAAAAGTTTTAATACAGTTTTAAGCTGGAGAAATCATCCATTCTCATAGCTTTAACTATTGCTTCTCTAATGATGCCTTGGAAATCGACATTCTGGTCCTAACTTAACAGTCAAGTACCAGTCCTATCTTTCCAACTACTCATAGGATAGCGCTACTCGATGGCCCACTGTCACTTTAAACCCAGCACATTCCAAATTGAACTCATAATCTTGCTTTAGAAAAACTTGCATCTCTTCCTAATTTACCCATTTCTTCCAGTGGTACCACCATTCTCCCTTGAATGAGAGAAGTTTGTCTCACTCAAAACTTCTGAGTATCAGCAAGGTCTTGATTGTTGTTGTTCAGTCATTTTTCAGTTGTGTCTGACTCTTCCTGACCCCATTTGGGGTTTTCTTGGCAAAGATACTGAAGTGGTTTGCCATTTCCTTCTCTAGCTCATTTTATAGGTGAGGAAGCTGAGGTAAAGAGGGTTAAGGGACTTGTCCTGGGACACACGGATAGTAAATGTCTGACGCCAGATTTGAACTCAGTAAGATGAGTCTTTCTGACCCCAGGCCTGGCACTCTATCCACTATACCACCTAGCTGCCCTAAGGTCTCAATTACCATGTCCAATTGGCATTTGTCATTGGGTCATTGAATTGGGAAGGCAGTGTGGTGCAGTGAAGAGTACTGAATTTATAACTAGAGGACTTGGGTTTAAATCTTGGCTCTACCCCTAGTTCTACCTATGTGATCTTGGTCAAATTACTTTACTTCTCTTGATATTGGTTCCTAATTGGTAAAAATAGAGGAGTTGGATTAGATGACCTCCCAACTGGAAGGGACATTACAGACCATCTAGTTCACCCCCCCAATTAACAAATGAAGAAACTAAGACCCAGAGGAATGAAGTGCTTTGTCTGAAGTCTTTATCATTATCTCTTAATTCATCTCTTCCTCAACACTTGACTTTTATTTAGCCCCAACACTTGTGTTGTTAATACAATTGCCCTCACTTATCTCTATGATACCAACCTCTCTTGTTTACAATCCATCGTATAGTAAGCTCTGCTGCTGGATTAACCAAAAATGTTGAATGAAAAGTCCACAGTGAGACATTTGGAGGGAAGTAATTTTCTTTCAAAAAAAGTAACTTAATACTCTAGATGATACTCCATTTCCCTTCAACACAGGAACATACTATTTGGTAACTCACATACTCTTGACTTGGGAGGAACCTTGGGATAACCATAGGATTCAGTGCCAGAAGGAACTAGAATGATTATTTAATCCAATCTCCTTATTTTACAGAAAAGGAAACTGAGGCCCAGAGAGGTTAAATGACTTGCCTAAAGTAATTTGGGTAATAAGTTGGAGACCCAGGGTTGAAGCCCAAGTCATCTGACTCCAAATATAGTGTGCTTTCCACTATATCATATTGCTTTTACCTGAGGACTATTGTTGATGAGAGCCAACTCCACTTATGGGGGCTTCCTCTTCCCTGTTTTCATCTCTGACAGTAGGCTTCTCCTGAGTTCTGTCTTCAGCTACTTGAATTTCTGACTTCTCTAATGCTCCTCTGCTCCTCCTCTCCATTCCTTCACCCTTCTGTACTTAGGAACTGGGATGTGAATTACCCCTCCTCTTCTGGGGCCTCTCAAGAATGGGCCAGGACCTCATGACTCACACAACCACTTCTCCAGTATAGGTGCTCAGCATCTCTCTCCTGACTCATAACAAGCTCCTAATTGGTCTCCCTGCTTCAGATCCCATCTTCTCTCCAATCAATTCTCCACAGAACTGCCAAAGTGATTTTCCTAAGGCTAGCTTGTGACCATGTCATTTCCTTTCTTTGTTTTTTATGGCATATCTTTATCAATAAAAAGTTTGAACATTCTCTTAATATATGGATATTTTCATATATGTGTATATATACATATAAATATATGTACTACTATGCTAACAATTATGTACATTAAAAAACACAAAAACTAGGCATTCTAAAAGGATGGTGTAAGGATGAAATAATACTTGATCCTAGTAGAGTCCATAAGACTAGTCACTAGAGTAAGTGACATGGTTAGACCTGTCCTTTAGGAGAATCCCTTGAACAGCTATGGATTTGTGACCTGCTCTGGTGAAGGGAGCTCCCACAGATCTTTGAAGCAATTCCAGCACACTGTCATTTTAGGACTAAATCATCATTGTCTAAACCAGCTTTAAAAACAGTTTATTGAAGAATATAAATTCCACCATTGATAACATATTGGGTGATTTATTTTTAAATGGATTTTTATTGATATCTTTTGTTGTTTACACCACTTACATTTTCCAATGTAATGTCCCTCCCCCTCTCAGAAAACCATACAGAAGAATAAAAAAGAAAAAAAAAATTTAGCAAAAAAATAGCTAATAAAAAGTAGTCCTTTTAAACCATAGCCTCCACAAGAAGGTTTAGGTCTTAAATTTATTAAGTAAATAATATAGATTACACTTTTTTATATTTGTCTCTAGAGTAAAAGTATTTTCAAAATAATGAGTCCAAGAAGTGTCTCTGTACAACTAGCAGATGTTGCCCTTAAATTATTTTAAGAAACCATTTTAGTTAAGCAAATATTTTTATCCTAAGTTTTTTTTTTAAAAAGTATTTCTTTCATTAGTTCTAGGTCATATAACATCCAATGTAGGTATCATTTGAATGAAGCTCCATATACAAAAATTAGAACTTACAAAAGAGACAAGTTAGGGAATAAACATTTACTCTGAAGAACTTTTCACCTTATACTGAGTTTCCTTTAAGTACCCTGCCCCATATTGTACATTTCTCACCTGAATCAATTTCTACATGATACTTTAGGAATCCATCTATTGCACAAAACAAGGTAGAACTCTTTCACGTAAAGGGTAGGTGGTATTGTTCAGTTGTATCTGACTCTTGGTGATCTTGTTTAGGGTTTTCTTGGCAAAGATACTGAAGTACTTTGCCATTTCCTTCTCCAGCTCATTTTGCAGATGAGGAAACTGAGGCAAACAGGGTTAAGTGACTTACACAGCTAATAAATGTCTGAGGCCGGATTTGAACTCAGGTCTTCCTGACTCCAGACCCAGTACTCTATCTGCTGTGTCACCCACCTAGCTGCCCAAAGGGTGGGTAACTGAGTTTAATTTGATCCGGTAGAGAAGATGATACTAGTCTCTTGCTGTTTGGAAGGAATGGGGTTCCAAGATTTACGAAATGGAATTTTTTGTGGCTGATGTAATGGAAATGATTAAACATACTGAGTTTTCTGGTCTTATTCTTTTGGAATAATGAAAGTCACTATAAACAGATTCAGTGAAAAAGGCTTGAGGCTATAGCATAGGAATAAAACTATCTTTAACCTACTACCTTCTTCTAAAGAAAAAAAGAAGCAAACTTTACTTTTAGTTGTTTGAACATGTTGATGAAATCTGACTTTAAGAAAAAAATTGTTTGAACTTGTCAGGTGAAAAGGTTGGATTGGTCCCTCCAGCTCTGAACCTACTAAACAGAATTCTTTGACCTGTTGGAATGATCTTTTTGCCTTTTGGGGCACCTACTAGTGTCTGATTTACAAAATTTCACATATGCACACACTTCTATTTTCTCACTGATAATCTGTCTATACAAATGGACACTGTGACCAGGGTGGGGGGAGTTCATCCTTTCTCAGTCCCAGTTTTATCATCTTTAAAATGCAAATAATAATAATAATGATGATAGTATTTACTTCACAGTACTGTTGTGAAGAGCAAATAAGATAACACATGTAAACAGCACTTTGCAGAGCTCAAAAGCAGCTATTATTACAGATGCATGCTCAGGTTGTGGAAAGGAACATGGGATTAGGCTAGAGAAATTAGTTACAGAAAGAAAATTGGGTTATGGAAACAAAAGTTGGTTCCTATTGTCACTGATGCTCTGGGACATGTATTTATGGTCAGATTCACAAGGTAAGTGGATCTGTAACTGGAAGAATAGTGTTTAGTTTGCCATATGATTTGAAGATTTCTATATTCTGCTTATGTAACTTTGTAAATATCAGAGGAATGAAATACCTTTTTAAGATGATAAGCAATTCTTTGGGTCAAGAGTTGTGTAAATAGCCTTTTCTTTCCAGTTTGATGATAAATTCCTTGAGAATAGGGGCAACTGCTTTATATGCCTCTTCTGTATTTTCCCTTACAACTAGCAAAGGAGGGATGCATGGAAAGTGTTTAATAAACACTAGTAATGGTTCAATTGCTTGAGAAGGAGGGATGTACCACTGTAGGATAGAGATGGTAAAGTTTGGTCATTTTTAATACTATTCTCTTGAAATTTATGGATTAGCTTAATTCCTAGAAAGCTGTTGTGGAAATCAAAATTTCACATAGGCAGGCACTCCTGTTTTCTTAGTGATAGTCTATACCATTTGGCATTTAAATAGGAAAAAGTCATTTAACTTCTCTGAACCTATTTCCTCATCTATAAAGTAATAATAATAACTCAGGTTTACAAAGTACCACTTATTATCCCTGTCATCAGTGCTATTATTATTTCCATTTTACAGATCAGGAAACTATAGCCTAAATATGGTAATAACTTGTTTAGGTTTATATACCTAGTTTATATACCTAGTAAGAGTCTAAAGCAGAGTTGGAACGCAATTCTTTTCTGACTTCAATTCTGGCATTCTAGGACCATTTCCCAGACTCAATTATAGGAATCAAATGAGGTAATCTATGTAAAATGTAAAGCCTGGTTAAATGTTAGGATGTGATTTTATTAGCATTGGAAACTCTTAGATAAGGAAACTCTCTCTACCTTTTTTGCAACCTATTGTGACCAGAGCACAAAAAGGTTAAGTGACTGGCCTGGGGTCCGCCAGCCTTTGGAGTCAGAGGCACCCAGGCCAACTCTTTATCCATTGCCTCTCTTATTCAAATTAGACAACTAACTTTATATGACTATTATAGCAGTCTGAGAAAATGGAAGATCAAGTTAATGCCTACTCTCCATTGTTTTTCTTTACTGGTTACTATAATGTAGTGTTATGGAATTAAGAAAAATATATTTCTAACATGAATATATGAACTTAACATTCTTTCAAATGGGCCGCATTTCATAGGGAAATGCCTCGAATTTGTCCTTGATTCCAGAATCCCCTAATCACCATTTCTTTATGTGTGCAAGTTCGTCTTGATGACATGTAGAAAAAAATCAAAGATCAGGGTCTTGCCTGTAGCCCTCACCGATTTAGAAAGGACATTGCTTCTGTCAGTTTTAACTTCACTGTAGTCCTATAGAGTCAGGATTATATCTATTGAACATATAAAGATCAGAAAGAAAAGAAACAAAAAAACACAGAAGTAATTGGATCTGCAAAAGGGTTCCACCCACCAGTGTGGAAATCAGTCCTCCAAGATCCTAAGCCTTCTCCATTGCTGGTGAATGGTGGGCATTCTCAGACTCCTTAGGGTCTCTCTTTAGGTCACCTACTCAAAAAAATCATAGATTTCTATCCCATTAACCTAGTGTAGGCTGAGAAGCTACCAAAGGAGTTGAGGTCCAATTACTCAGTGAGGAGCTGAAACATAAAAGCTTCGTCATCTTCTTTCTTCTCCATAAGTTTTAGCTGGTCTTCCTCTACACCAATATATAATCCTTGAGACTTGAGACACTCGAATGAAACTAACTCAGAGTTTTGGTGCAGAATGAAGTATTTGTTTTCCTGGGCTGAGTTTTGACTTTCACTTTTGTGAAGCTATGAAAATAAAATGGAAAGGCAAACATTTTGGTTCAGTTCAAATTGGAAAAAAAATGCTTATTAAGCACCTGTTGTGTGCAAGGCCCTACGATATTCTCTGACTCCCACTGACTCCCACTCCTCCATTTTTTTCTTAAACCTCAACCACCACACTTTTCTCCCAAATGAGGCCATTGCCCCCAGCTCCCTTTGTCCTTCTCTACATTTCACAACACATGGCATCAACCCTTAGTTTTCCTCTTTTATTTCAGTCCCCGAGAAGAGATGATCTCACTAACCCTTCTATACCAACCTGCCAACCCAATCCCTCCTGTCTTTTCCAATAGATTGCCCTCCGTGTTACCTTCCTCCTTTCCATCTCCCTCAGGACTGCACAACACATGACTTGTGGGCTTCTTGCAGTCAGTCAAAGGATTTTAGGCAGTCCTTGAAAAATGTAAAGTTGCCACTGCGCACTCTCTTATTTGTCACATGACCTGCAGCAACCAACCATTGTCAGGCTGTCTCTAGTCTAACTTATCTGCGCCTAAAGAAGTTTAGCCTATTTTAATTTTGGCCCCTACCAACTGCCAACCTGTGCTCTGATCTTCTCCAATTGTCAAACCCTCTCTATCTACATTTCCTTCCCTTAAAAAACAAGGGCAGGACTCAACCAAGTCTTCTGATTCTTAAAAACACTCTATACCATGCCCTCAAGTTATAACCTAGGGGAAGAAAACTTGTCTATGCTCATTGCTTCTACTTCTACTCTCACTTATTTCTCCCCATTTTATAGTCTGGCTTCTGACAACATTACTTAACTGAAATGGCTTATACTAAAAATATTAGTGATCTCTTAATTTTCAAATTTGATGGCCCTTTCTCAGTCCTCATCCTTCTTGAATTGCTCATTTAAGAGAACCTACTTATCTTTCCTTGCTATTGTCTACAATTTTGCATTCAGTAGGGTATATATTTCCCTTTCCTTCTTTTCTTAGCTATTTGTAAAGCCTCATCAGACAGCCATTTTGCTTTCTTGCTCTTTTTCTTTGGAATGCTTTTTGTTGCTGACTCCTGAACAATATTGTGAATCTCTTCAGACACTCAATCTACAAGATCTAATCCCTTAAATCTAGTCATCACTTCTACTTTATATTCATAACAGGTATTATTTAGGTCACACTTAGATGGTCTGATGGTTTTTCCTACTTTGTTCAATTTAAGTCTGAATTTTGCAATAAGAAGCTCCTGATCTGAGCCACAGTCAGCTCCAGGTCTTGTTTTAACTGACTGTATAGAGTTTCTTCACCTTTGGCAGCGAAGTATATAATTGATCTGATTTTGATACTGACCATCTGGTGATGTCAATGTGTAGACATGCCTTCTGAGCTGTTGAAAAACAGTGTCTGCTTGATGAGTGAGTTATCCTGACAAAACTGTATTAGTCTCTGCTCTGCTTAATTTTGTATTCTAAGGCCAAACTTGCTTGTTATTCTAATTATTTTTTGTTTTCCTACTTTCTATTCCAAACCCCTATTATGACTGTGGCATCTTTTCTTAAATTGTTATTTCTAGAAGATATTGTAGATTTTCATAGAAATGAGCAACATTGGCCTCTTTGGCATCAGTGGTTGGAGCATAGACTTGTATTGCTGTGATATTGAATGGTTTGCCTTGGATTCAAACAGACATCCTTCTGTCACCTTTGAGATTATACTACAGTAATGCTTTTCTAAACCCTTTCATTGACCATGAGTGCTACTCCATTTCTTCTAAAGTATCCTTGTCCATAGTAGCATAGGTAATGATCACCTGAATTAAATTCACTCATTCCCATCCAATCAAGTTTACTGACACCCAAGATGGTAATGTTTAATCTTTCCATCTCCTTCACAGAAATAAGAAGTTTCTTTTAAATGAACAATGCAAAAAAATAGAAAAAAAAAATAGAATGCTAAAGACAAGAGATCTCTTCAAGAAAATTAGAAATATTAAGGGAATATTTCATGCAAAAATGGGCATGATAAAAGACAAAAATGGCAGGACTTAAAAGAGATAGAAGAGATTAAGGAGAGGTGGCAAGAATAAACAAAAGAACTATACTGATAACCACAATGATGTGGTTACTGATTTACAGCCAGATGTCCTGGAGAATGAAGTCTAGTGGGTCTTAGGAAGCATTGCTAACAATAAGGCTAGTGAAGGTGATAGAATTCCACCATCTGCTATTTAAAATCCTAAAAGATGATGCTCTTAAAGTGCTGCACTCAATATGCCAGCAAATTTGGAAAACTCAACAGTGGCCACTGAATTGGAAAAGATCCCAATCCTAAAGAAAGATAATGCCAAGGAATGTTCAGATTACAGAACAATTGCACTCATTTCACACACCAGCAAGCTTGTGCTTAAGATTCTTCAAGCCAGGATTCAGCAATATGTGAGCCAAGAATTATAAGAAGACCAGTCTAGTTTTCGAGGAGGCAGAGGAGCTAGAGACCAATTTACTAATATTCACTGGGTTATGAAGAAAGCAAGAGAGTTCCAGGAAAAAAAAAATCTACTTCTGCTGCATTGACTACACTAAAGGCTCTGAGACTGTGTGGATCACAACAAAATGTGACAAGTCCTCAAAGAGATGGGAGTACCAGATCATCCTACTTGTCTCCTGAGGAACCTGTATGTGGGCCAAGAAGCAACATTTAGAACTGACCATAGAATAACAAATTGGTTTAAAATTGGAAAAGGAGTACAATAAGGCTGTATACTGTCATCTTATTTATTTAAATTATATGCAGAGTACATCATATGAAATGCTAGGCTGGTTGAATAAAGAGCTGGAATTAAGGTTGTTGGGAGAAAGATCAATAATCAGATATGTAGACAATACTACTCTGATGGCAGAAAGTGAAGAAGCCTCTTGATGAAGGTGACAGAGAAGAGTGCAAAAGCTGGCTTGAAGGTGAACATCAAAAAAAAAACTAAGATCTTGGCATCACTTCCTGGCAAATAAAGGGAGAAGAAATGGAAGTAGTGTCAGATTTTATATTCTTGGGCTCAAAGATCTCTGCAGACAGCAACTGCAGTCATGAAATTAAAAGACACTTGCTCCTTGGAAGGAAAGCTATAGCAGATCTGGGCAGCATACTAAAAAGCAGAGACATCACCTTGGCAATAAAGGTCCATATAGTCAAAGCTATAGTTTTTTCAGTAGCAATGTATGGCTGTGAGAATTGGACTCTAAGTGCTACAGAATTGACACTTTTGAATTGTGGTGCTAGAGAAGACTTTCAAGAGTCCCTTGGACATCGAGGAGATCAAATCAGTCAATACTTAAAGAAATTAATTTAGACTATTCACTGGAAGGTCAAATACTGATGCTTAAATTCCTTGTCCATATAATGAGAAGACAGGACTCAATGGAAAAGACCTTGATGTTGGAAAAGGTTGAAGGCAAAAGGAAAGGGGGATGGCAGAGGATGAGATGGACAGATAGTATAATGGAAGCAACAAACAAGAGCTTGGACAGGCATTATGAGAATAGTGGAGGATAGAAGGGCCTGGAGTGCTATGGTCCATGGGATCATGAAGAGTTGGACATAACTGAATGAATGACTGAACAACATCTGTGCATTTGTCAGTTTCAGCCACCTTCTCCTCCTGAATAGTCTCCCCTTTCTGGGTATTTGTGACACCTCTTGGTTCTCCTCCTCCTATCATACTGATACTTCTCAGCCTCCTTTGTTGGATCATCATTCATGCCATGACCCCTAATTGTGAGCACATTCTAAGACTGACCTGGGTTTTCTTTTCTTTTTCCATGAGCTCCCAAGGTTTTAATTAGAATTTCTATGCAGATGACTCTAAGATTTATATATATCCAGCCCAAGTGTCTCTCCTGACCTCCATTCCCTCATTAGCAGTTATCTATCTGATATTTTGAACTGGTTGTCCCATAGGTGTCTTAAACTCAACATAACCAAAACAATTCGCTATCTTTCCGTCTAATCTCACTCTACTTCTAAACTTTCCTATATCTGTTTAGATAGGACACTGCTATCCTTTCAGGTACCTCTTGGTGCCATCCTCAACTCCTTATTGTCAATCCCATATATCTAATCAGTTGCCAAATCTTGTTTTAAACCTCTGCAATCAATCAATCAACAAGCATTTATTAAGCACTTACTCTGTGCCAGCCACTGTGATGAGTGGCTTATAACTATTCTCACCCTTGTCTTTCTATTTTTATAACCACTATGATCTTTCTTCTCACCTAGCCTATTGCAATATTCTTCTACTTGAGGACTTGTTTCAAGTCTCTTTTCATTCTATTCTATCCCCCACAAAGCTACCAAGGTGATTTTCTTAGAGCATAAGTCGACTAGGTTAGTGCTCTACATGGTAAACTCCAGTGGCTCCTGATTACTTCTAGTGCTCTGTTATACAAAGACCTTTATAATCTTCTCTCTAATGTTTAAGCCTTAGCACACATTATTCCTTCTTCATGTACAGTACAGTCCAGCCAAACTGCTCTCCTTTCTATTTCTAAAACATTACTCAATCTCTTGTTGTCCTACCTTTGTACTAGCTGTTACGCATTGCCTGTAATACACTCCTTTCTTACTCTCAAAACTCAGCTCAAGTACCACCTTATACAAGAAGCCCTTCTTGATCTCCTTAACTGCTGATGCCTTCCTCTCCACTCAATTATTTTTTAAAATCTATTTTGTATATAAGTGTAGATGCTTACGTTGTTTCCTCAGGCTAGACTTAATGCTTCTCTAGGTCATGGGCTGTTTGGATTTTTTCTTCGTATCCCTAATAATATCCCATAGTGTCTGGTACATAGATGGCATTTAATAAATGCCTGTTGATCTACTGATGGAGTCAACTCAATAAAACTTTGTTAAACCCCAATTCCATGGAACAGTGTTCAGGAAATGAAGCATGACAAAGATAACAATATTGTAAAGATTTGTAATTTTGTCCCCATAAGGAACTCCTTCCACCAATATAGACAGTGATCCACCTATGGCTTTAAGCAGGGAGTTGCCAGAGGCTTAGCAGGATTAGTTGATTAACTGACTTGCCTGGGGTCATTCCACTAATAAGTAACTAAGTGGTATTTGAACCTTGGTCTTCTTCCCAGGCCTCTAGCTCAGCACTTGATCCACTATTATCAGGTTGTTTCTATGGTGAATGTAATATATAGTAATACCTGATACCGCAGAAGCTGTGGAATCAATGGATCATGGGTGGACATGGACCCCATGCAATCACATGTGCTCTAGCCCCCTTGCTGAAGGACTTGTGCTTTGGGATAATGAAGTCTACCCTGACTGGTCTGAATGACTAGGGCCTTGTCAAAGAGGATTGACCACTGAGCTGGGAAGAGCCACTCATTCAGAAGTCTTTCTAAGGAGAGGACAAAGTTTCCACATGTCTCTCTCTTTCCCTCTACTGAGCTGTGCAACTTGGGACAGAGGCAAC